CTTTATCTCCCCATTTTTACTACCTCTCTGTGTTTGTTTCTGTGTGTTAAGTCATTATGCTTTGTCTCTTTGTCTTGGTAGGGTGGCCTTATGTAGTAGGTATCCTGTGGGACCCTTGGCACACTCTGTGATTACATTAACTGGTGCTCCAGGAATGTTTCTTGTGTGAGATACATAAGCGCTTCTGTTGTAGTTTAGTCATGACTGCTGTTGGCCCATCTGTGTGTGGCATTGACCCTCATGCTGTTTGACTGTTACGATTGACCTTGACCACAGTGTATGAGCTGATATGCAGGAGTTTACCACATGAAGCAGAATTCACCTCAGCAGGGTCTTTGCTTCCTGAGATCTCCCTTTGGATGTGCTGCTTATGGAGCTAATTGAGTGCTGCTCTGATGTTGCCTGAAGTTTGCCACTGGATGTGTTGGTTTGAGGCCTTTTGGGATTGACTCATGCACATCAATGTCTGACTCTACCTGTGACTGGCCCTGGGCAATCACCTTGGAGCTATAAAGTGAGTCACAGTTTGCTGCTGCCCTTGCTTTGACTGGGAGTGCATGGGAAGGGCCAAGCTGCTCATCAAGGCCACCTCCCACCAGCAGTGAGCTTTGTTACAGGTCAGTGAAAGGTCCAAGGCGATTCGCAATCCACCGTTACCTGCCTCCACTTGTAGGCTGCCGGTTAAGTTGGGTCACTTAAAGAGTCTTTGGCAATACCATGTGAGGTGAGTTAGGTTCTCAGTGAGTCATCAGGTACAGGCAAGTGGTGTTCATCAGGCTGATACATATTCAGTCTTGGTGCCAGTGCTGAGTCTCAGGCCACTCAGGAAAAAAATCCCAGAGTACATCAGGGCCAGTTGTCAAATGCTGGGTGCCCACAGACTTTTTTGGTGAACTGATGTCTCAGGGAGTCATCTGGGGTCAACCAAACAGACCAAGATTTGGTGATGTGAAGGGACGGTTCTACACCAGTTGAACATGCGAGGGAAAATTGGCCCGACTTGAGGCTACACAATTCAGTCTGTCCTTGATTTAGCCGAGAGCATCTGGAGACCCCCAAGTCCAGTAGGGCAGGGCTCTTATGATTCCAGAGGGTGGAACTAGTGGATCTCTTATTGGGTGAGGTAGCACTTATTAAGCTCTAAGGAAGGGGGGTGGTGAGAAAAGGCCTCTGACACAAGCCACAAAACTCAGTCTCGGACACACCCTGAATCTGCCCAGACCTCTAGTCCCTGGGCTCAGGTAGCTGAATTTTCTGTCAGATATGAGCTCTGCAGGGTGAGAGGACAGGGACCAGGAGGGTGGGATTATGCTTTCCCTCAGGCTGATGTCACAGGAGAAGAGTTCTCAGCCCAAGAAAGATGATGTCTGTGGGCAGTGGGGGACAGGGACTCAACACAGAGATCCTGGCATCTGTCCCTTAGCTCTTTCCCCAGAGCCACACATCTCAGTTTCTTTTCACTAGTCTGCACCGAGCCACCCTCCTTTTGTTTGTGCTTAGGGTAAGTGACCATAAACAAGGTTTTGTGTGCTGGCTCTTCAAGAGGGTGCCTGGGTTTCTATGAGACTTCTGTCTCTCCCTGGAAGACAGATCCCTGATGATTTTCATAGCCAGATGTTATGTGGGCTCCTTTTCCTGGCTCTGGTGCTCTGGGCTGGGGAGCTGGGCGTGGGGCTGAGACCCTGTGCTTTTAAGAGGAGACCTTTGTAGCTGAGATAGCCCTCTGGGTGCTTGGCCAGTGCACATGGGAGCCGGGGCCAGCCCTTTTCAATCTCTGCCCTTCCTACCAGAAGCCTGTCGATGTGGCTTCTTCATAAATCCTTGGTTATGAGACTTCTGTTCAGCTAGTCTTGTATTGGTTATTCAAATTGATGGCTGTATATTTTAGTCATAATTCCAGTTTGGTCCTGGGAGGAGTGAGGGTAACTTTTATCTACTCTACCACCATTTTGGATCCCACTCAACATTTTTCTGTTGTCCCCAGTCCATTTTTCAGGGGCATACATCTGGCCTTTGAAGTAAATTTTTGGCCACTGTTATGGCCTTAGCGCCACTAGACTATTGAGCTGGTTCTAGCTTAAACCTAAATCACACATAGTATATTTGCTTTTACTGGTCTTTTCCTCCATTTATCTAAAGTTCTGTTGTTAAAGAAACCAGGATAGAAGATTAGCCATATATACAGGTTTCAGATACCTGTGCTCTCTCCTGCTCTTTAATGAGCATTTCACGTGTTTAAAAATAGATCTGATGATTTAGGAAGTTCCTACCTCTCAGGCAGCTAGAGAAACATCCCTGGCCTCTCCCAGTGCCCACCCCGTTAGAGAATTTTCAGGGGCACTCAGCAACCACAGCAGTGCTTTGTGGGAGGCCATGGGTTACCCGTGAGGGTGCTCCTCAGAGCTGGCATGCAGAGATGGGAGTGGAACCCCAAACATCACAAGGAGTTTTGATCGGGCCACCACGGCTGCTGTGAAGGGCCCTGAAGNAAACACCAAACATCACAAGGAGTTTTGATCGGGCCACCACGGCTGCTGTGAAGGGCCCTGAAGGCGGTTGGCAGGATGAGCCCAAAAGGTATTTCCAGCAGACAGAGTGCCTGCTTGACAGTGAAAATGTCTTTGTGTAAAGGGGGTCCAATATCTGGTGATGAAAAAAGATTTGACTTTGAGTGGTCTGCACACAATGCTATATACAGATGATATATCAGAGAATTGTACGCTTGAAATGTATGGAATTTGATTAACCAGTATGACCTCAATGAATTTCATAACAATTTTGAAAAATGTGTTTGTGGGTGGCATTTAAGAAAATGTGAGAGGACCCCTCTAGATTATATTTAACATCATAGGAAATTGAGATGATGGTGGGCAGTAGCCAGAATTTGTTTCTGTTACCTTTGCTCGTTACTCTAGAGAAGACCCTTTCAGAATGACCAAAATGCATATTGAGAACTAAAGTGAGAATAGTTGTGATGAAGAGAAGGGGCCAGGGATTATCAGTAGCTTTCAACGTGGCTTTTGGTAGAAAAGCAGACTTTGATAATCGTGTAAACTGAGTAGTCAGAGTGGCCTTGCTGGTCGTGATCTTAGCAAAGGGTATGACAGTAAATAATAAATTTGAAACCAATGCAATTACTTTTTGGGGGGAAGTTGCAGAAGCTAAAGTGACTTTGACACCACTGTCATCAGTCTTCCATCTGGTCCCTCAAGGGAAGGATAATTTGTGCTCATGAACACTAGCTCCACCATGGTGGCAGCTGAAGTTTCCTAAAAACCTGCGACTCAGCTGGTGCGGCTCTGGTTCTAGTTATAACATCAGAGAACGTGCAGGGAACTGTGTGAGGTGTCATCGATGTGAGCTTCTGGGGAAATGGCTGCAGTGTCTAGGTACAGACCAGTTGTAGAGAATGGTTTTTGAGTATGNGCAGCTGTAGAGAATGCTCTTTGAGTATGAACAGAGAAACACCAGGAGCTATGTTTATAACAGACTGCTTTTGTTTTTGATCTTTGGAAATTGGAAGGCACTATAACCTTGTTTCATGTACATTGGTATCATCCACCTGGTGCTGTCTCCTATTGGTAGTGATCTCCTTTTAGTCTAAACTGAAAAATTGGTGGCTATCAGCTTTTTCTTAAAACTTTCCAACATCTATGTGTCTTCTTAGAATATGATTTCCCAGGGACATCTGTAATATTTTAAAGAAAATTAAAATTAAAAAGTAAAAAAAAAGTACAAAAATATATATATATGATTTTCCTTCAAAAAATAAGTTGAACTGAGCAGCTGCTACTCAGAAAATTTGCTGTGCCTGTAAATAGTATGCCATTCAGCCATCTAGCCATTGAAAAACTAAAAAAACAACAAACAANTAAATTTCCTGTGCCTGTAAATAGTATGCCATTCAGCCATCTAGCCATTGAAAAACTAAAAAAACAACAAACAAAAAACCAGATGCTGCATGATCTGTAGGGACCATGCTTTGCTTTATGATTAATCTCTATTAACAGGCATGGTGACCATAGGTAGGTGCTATATGTCAAAATTAACATGCAGTTGTGATGAAAATGTAAATGGGACATGGAAACATAGATGAGACTGATGAATGTCAGAGGGATGGAGGAGGGTGGGTGGGTGGAGGGGGAGAGAGTAACCATATATACACAACCCAAGGACATGGACAATGGTTGGGAGAGGGACTGGGGAGGGGGAAGGAACGGGGTGGAATGGGTCTTTGGGGAGAAAAAGGGACATCTGTTAATATTTTAAACAATAATAAAACGTAATAAATAAATAAATAAATAAATAAATAAATAAATAAATAAATGTGCATCCAGTTCTGTGAAAGTGACAGTTTCTCTCCCCAGTAAGGTTCAGGTGAACAGAAACTTGCATGTGCCCTTTGACATTAGCCCCGTGCACTGGGGGCGGGGAGGGTTCCCCTTTCCCCCTGAGTGTGGCATCTTTGTTTATTTATTTACTAGAGGTGAATCCTTGTTGCCTCAAGACTTGTCCCTCTAAGATAATAGTGGCAGCTCTCAGTGCTCCGTTTGCTGCCATGGCCATGTGCCCGCTCCTGTGTTGGCACATCTCTCCTTTCATGAGCCCCTTCCTGGCACAGGCCTGGTGAGGAAGCCCGCAGGGTCTCAGCTGAGAAACAGCCCCCGCAGCTCCTGCCGCCCGCACCGCAGCGGGGCCTGTGCGCGGGGAGGAGCGGGAGCCTCCAGCTGCGCCGCCGGGACTCTGGGGAACGAGCCCGGGCCAGCAGCACAGGGCTCAGGGGGACGTCCCCTGCTCCCCCTTGTCCCGACCTCAAAGTGCTGGGGTGCGGAAGGGCCCCGAGGCCCTGCGCCCTGGGCGCTGTCTGAGCGTTGGCGCAGCAGCGCCGCGGGGCCTCTGTGGTCTCGTAACTAAGTCAGAGCAGCCTCGGGCTGAGCCGGGCCTGCGGGCGCCCGGGACTGACGCGCCCGTGTGGGTTTTGTGTTTTCCTTCTTCCTCAGAAATGAGCTGGAGACGCAGTATTTATTTCTACTCCGGTTTCGTCTGCACGTCTCTGCCAGTGTCTATGCCAAATATTATTTTGACCTTCGGTCCCTAGCGAGTGACCACAAATTGCCTAATGAGTTTGCTTGTCTGCGAAAAGAAAGAGCACAGGCCCTGGAGGTAAGGCTGCGGAGTCACAGAGTGGGGTTTCCACCAGACACCAGACACCATCTGTGGGTAACTCAGATTATGTAGGACAATGAAAAGCTTTTTCAACTACCAGGGTGAAGAAGACTTATTAACTCTTTCACATATTTCCGGTATCTTTTATGGCTGATAGGAAGAATCCCACTGTATAAGAAAATTATGTTTTCTGTGACTATGATTCAGAGTATTTTAAATCAAATTTAATCTTTGATGGTTTTTTTGAAACTGTTCTTTTTTGTAACCATACATGAATAATTTCTTACAATTGAATCACTAATCATATCTACAAACATAACCTACTTACCATCTTAACTCACTTTGCAAGTTCATGCCTTTTCTGTATGTGTCACAGTTCAGTCCCGTGAGTTTGTGAGACAAGCTCACCTGAGGGACCTGTATTAATTGTGGAATGTGTGTTTGAAATACTCGGAGTAGAAAGTACATGGGCTTTTAATGGAAATGGTAAAGTACATGGAACAGTCATATTTATGGCTTATGACCTTTGGTGATACAACAAAATTATTCACAACTGAAATGGACACGTTTAAAATGGACACTTTCTGTGGGACTTTGACCGCACTTTAGGAAATGGCGTGTTTCTACCATAATTAAAGTGCAAGTGAAACAGTACCTTGTGGTGCTTCAATCATTAGATCTTTCCTACCTTTCAGGAAAGTACAGCAGAAGCCGGCCTCATTTAAATTTGCTTAGAGCAGATAATAGCTAATAAAGACTGGGTAGAATTTAAGTAGCTGAGGAAACACTCATTTTGCCCCCGTGTGTTTATTATATTTAAGGGACCAAGTGCGCAGGCAACAGGTGATAGTGTTGTTAGGAGCCTGTCACGCCTTAGACACCATTGAGAAAACCCAAACTTTAAAATAAATCCTCCGTCCCCCGTTCCTCTGGCCATCTAATCACAGCCCCTAAGAGACTCGCCTCAGTGAATTAGCTTAAAGGAGAAGCCCAAGGGCTCGGCAGGGAGCCCGCAGCTGCCCACGGGCAGGAGCTGTCACCCGCCTGAGGAAGCGGCATGTGCGGCTCAGCGGTGGTGCTTTCTGTGCTCAGGCTGCAGCCCTGTGATTTCTAACGTGTCTGTGCTCTCTTTGATTTCTGCTCCTAGGCCATTTCCAGATATTGTGAAAACAAAAGCCTGTGCAGGGCGGCTGTAAGAAAACCCCGCAGCTGCGATAACTTTAGTGCTGCGCAGCGGGCCAGTGCCATCTTATCTTAAATGAGGAGTGAGGGGCTGGGACATGGTGAGCCCCTCATGTGCCACGAATGGAGAAATGTCACCGCTCCTGCTCAGACCCAGCTAAGTGATTTCCTTTTAGGGGAGAAATGAGGGGAATTAACATGGTCAGCTTCTCATCTACAGTAACAAGGGCTGTGGAAATACCAAGGTGCCTCTTCCAGCAAGTTTAGTATTTCCTCTTAAAACAGAAATGAAAATTTTCAACATCATGAGGAACTTTTTAGCCTAAGCTTAATTCATGACCCTTAGTATTTTTCATTTCCCTTTTGATTATTTTAACTACTAGAGGATATTACATTTGTTTATTTTTGCTTTCAATTTTTGGAGAAATGGGAAATTTGTATCTTAAACTTTTCAAAATTTCTTGTTTACCACCTACATAGCGTTCTCTTTTGAGCTTTGATGTTCCCATTTAGAAAGCTTAAAGTACCTATTTCTATATACTATAGTTACAAATGCTTTAATGTTTACTTTGATATTGGGGTGAGGGCCTTTTTGGACATCAGAAATTTCTTAAATATTTTTTGTTGCTCCCTAGTTCAAAATGGGCACTTTTTTTTCATTATGTGTTATTTCCTTTCCTCCTAAACTTTTTAGACATTGTTAGTGTATATGAATTACTTTAAAGTAATTTTAATTATCAGTTTTAATTTCAGTTTTTTAGACTTTGAAAACTTTACTTTTTTAAAAATTGATGTTCGAGGGAGAGGAAAGGAGAGGGAGAGAGAGAAACATAGATGTGGGAGAGAAATATCTACCGGTTGCCTCCCTTACAGGCCCGGAGACCAGGGATCAAACCCAAACCGGGTATGTGCCATGATCAGGATCTGAACCTGCGACACTCCAACAACTGAGCCACCTGGCCAAGGTAAAGATCCTCTTTAAAAGAAATCAAGTAACAACTCCTCTCATTATGAAAATCATATATTCTGTGGCCTTTATCCTTTGAATATTCTTATGTAATTGGCCTACAAACTGCCAGAATGAACTAGTAAAATGGAGATTTCTGGTGGTACAGAAGCTAGAGGAAAAGAGTGGCTGTTCTCTTTTTGTTTTTAGGAACTATCTTGCTGGCAGGTGGCCTTTGGTAATCGGTAGTTCCAAGGGCTTGTATTGAATAAGTGACTTATTCTACCTATAATGCATTCCATCAACTATCATCTCTGGAAATTATTTTTAGAGAAATTAGCCAACTGATTTCTAGAAGGTGAATTCTGACTGTCTGATATTCATCTCGCTTTCCCTGTGGGACTGTGTATGATGCCCTATTTCCTCCTTGAGCTAAAATGTGTCTGTGACGTCAGAATCTCCTCTCCTGCTCTGCAGTTACAGTGGCAAATTGTAGGAGCAGCACATTGGCAAGGAAGAAATTATAAAATGAGAACAGTTCAATCACATCTCTTTTTCAGGCTTTTCAAGTATAAGCTTTCAGAAAATTTACCATTTTTAGAGTTGGTAATACAGTAGAAGGAAATGAGTGGGAAATATTCACAAGGATGATAGTCAAAAATGTCATTAATATTGTTTTAAATATTTTCTAGGTTTTACTGGGTTGCATGTAAGTATGTTTAATAGCTCACTAAGATTATCAAACTTTTGGCAGGAATAGCTGAACAAATTAAAATTTCTTTTAAAGATTAGGTGCTTAAAGCCAGTCTGTATTAAAATGTAAGGAAATAGTTAGGTTTTTCTGTAACATTTTTTCTTTGTATCTTGGAATATACTGCGGACTGACTGTAGACTGTGCTGTACATTCTGTCATGATAGGTTCCATGGCCTCGTAATACCTTAACTTTGGTTCTCCAGTAATTGGTGGGCATACTCTATTGAATTCCCCTCCGAAAAATATAGCTTGGTAATTTTCCAATTTACTTCGCCTCATTTTAAAAGTGGATATGAATAATACCATATTTTAAGTTTGTGTTTTATAATCGTATAAATTTGAAAGGTTTGTTCGCTGAAAATTTGAGAATTTACCTTACATGTTGACAAATGAAATGAACTTACATTGAATTTTTATTCCAGGTAACAATCTATTTGACCTCTTTTTCCCTCTCTCCCAGCTTTGTTCTTTTTCTCATGTTTTCTTTGTTCCAGCATCCTGCCTGCTAATCTTTTTATTTAGGTTCCCTCCTTTCTCTAAATTACTATATTTATGTCAACTTTTGTATGCCAGTAAAATTATTTAATTTATCAGGCACAGAAAAACTAGTATAACTTGGGAAAGGGTAGATAGAATTTTTATTTGATCCTGAAGTTTTCCCCATTGTGAATACTGCATTCTGCACAAACTCTCATTCCACTGGCTTGCGTGCTGTGTATGGTTTTGGCTTCCAGTAATGCACTTGTTTGCAGTAATGAATCCTCAAGTTCAATTTCAGATTGTTTCCCACACAAAATTAAAACTAGACTTTAAAAGTCTAGAGTACTGTGACCTTTTAAATTGTAAATCAAAAAATTTTTAATTTTTAATGCTTACTGAATCATTTTCTTTCCCTAGTGAGAGTTAATATTTGAAAGTACTAAGATTTGCTTTACAAATGTATATAAACATGTATGAAATTGTTCGTGGTGATAAATTGGAGTAGGTATTTTGATTCATCGTTAAAGATTAACTTTGGGAGCCAGCACTCTCTGGGTTGAAATCTCAGCTCTATTCATTGCTGTGTGCACTTGACAGGATTCTTCTCTGTGCCTCAGTTTCCTCTTGTGCAGAATGAGGACTGACAGGGTTGTTATGAGGATTAAGCGAGGTGAGACCTGTAGAGCACTTAGGAAGGGGCCTGGCACTTAGAGAAGTGCTAACTAAGCATTACCTTTGACTTAAATGCTCTTTGACTTACTTGGATTTTTTTCAAATTTACAATTGTACCATATTAATAAACATAATCTAAATAAGTTACTGAAAAGGTCTCAAAAGTTATATGAATTAGTGAGGAAAGAAAGCTGTTGTTGAACCCATGTAGTTTCGAAGCGCTATGCCTTTTTATACACATTTGTTGAATAAGCATTAAACCTAAAGATTTTATATTACAAAGAGAAACTATAGGTATAATGATTTTACTTGGATCTATGGCTTGAAAGATTATTTAAAATGCAGGACACATTACAATAATGTGTGAAGCACCATGACTGCCAGTATTTTCTCATATTTTAAAAATTTTCATAGCATAACTGAATTGACAAGAAGTGTTTGTTATTAAATCGCCCTGCAACACTCTCAGTATTCTATTCATATAATTATAATCCTTGTAAGTAAGATGTTGAAATATAAATTTATATTATAATAAAATTGAAAGTAAAGTGAAGATTTTAAGGGAATAAGAAAAGAGGGAAAATTTTGATTGCTTAAAAGTGTTTGCAGCCTGCTGTGTGTATCTTGTGTCACTTATCTGCCAGGTGTGGTGCTAAAAAGTGTCCTTTATATATATCTGACTTGGCTGTGAAAGAGCTTGTCTTTCAGTGATTTCATGGAATAATTTACTAAGTAATATTGAAACCCTGAAAATACTTACCTTGTGGACACATTGCCATTTAAATCTCTTCATACTGGGGAAAGGTGTTTACATTTATATGCCTGAGTTTTAATCTGTTTTCAAATTAAAAAAATAATTTGTAAATGTGTACTTAAATCATTTAAATTCCTAAATTAACTATCAAACTACACTTTGTATAACATTAAAAGCTTTTTCATCATTATAGTGAAAAATAATTTTAGCTTAATGTTTCTCTGTCCTGAGTGNCAGTGAAAAATAGTTTTAGCTTAATGTTTCTCTGTCCTGAGTGAGTGAGTGTAAAGGTTTCTAGTGGATGTGAGATTAGGTTGTAGAGAG